ACTGATAATAAGTCTCTATGTTTAAATTTTAGAATCAGACACTGTTTCTGTAGGAGTGCAGATTTACAGCTCTGTCCCCTCTTGAACAAGGTATGTAAAGTGCATCAGGATATTGCTAACCACCAACTAAATTTTACCATGACCCAAAACTTTATTTAAATAAACCTCCTGTTCTTTGCCACAGATGTAGAGTCACTGGAAGTGCACTAATGCAAAGCAATTATCTTGGGCCTAGGTACTGCTGTTTTTTCCTGTGTGATCCTGGACTAGTCATTTAACAACCAATTCAAATATCCATTCTTCCTCCATAGAGTGCCACTGGCATCTACCTCGTTGTGAGAATTAACTAAGCAAATATACGTGAAAACACCTCACTTCGCATAGTATCTAGTAGGAGTAAAATAAATGTTCATAAATGTTTTCTTCCCATTAAAATTGCTGCTCTGTGCTGACAAAATTGTTGTATAGTATTTAGAAAACGTGCTTGGTAATGACAACTAATGTTTTTAAAACGGTTTGAATGAATGCTGCAGACTGAACTCTACCAATTAATATTTATTGTATGTGGGGAGTAGAAAAGCGGGAGTAGATTTCAGCACAGTGATGGAATAGCAGTTCTGGTGCATGCTAGATGGAAGGCCATTTTTGTGGCTGCCACTGCTGCTCACCAGATTAAATGGGATTTGGTATTGCTTTTGTTTGCACATACTGATCTGGGATGATTGGGGAGAATGCAAGTATATCTGCTCTTGCTTTTAAGTCATTTTATTTTTTGGTGAGAAGAAATTCACAGGGTGGCTAACATCTCATGCCCTTTAATCCCTATAAGCTGTTAGTTAAGACCAGGATGTTATTTAACTAAAATAAAGATGCTGATACCAAACACATTTTAGGATTCTTTAGCTCCACGGGAAAGATCAGGTTCTTTTATCCTAGTATGCTTCCCCAAGCCCCTGGAGTGTTCAAATAATCAATGTCTCTTCTCACCAGAATAAGGATCTAAAGTCTTTGCTATTTTTGGTAGCAAGGGAAGAAGAGCTAACCCATGTGTAGCTCTTGTCAGTTTACAATGCACTTACACATACATTTTCTTATTTGATCTATGCAGCACCCGCAGAAGGGAGTAGAGCTGATGTTATATCCATTTAGAAGTGAGAAGGTAGAGGTCCCAAAACATTAGTGAGTTGCCCAAGGTTACACTGCTAATAAGTGGATAACCTGAGGCTTAAACCCAAGTCTTATGATTCGAAATCTAAGGCTCTTGCACTCTTCTGTGTTCTTATGCCCTTTATAAATAAACAGACCCATCTAGTATCTTATTACTAGATACGGAAGTCAATCAAAGCAGGTGGATTTCTAAAACTTTTTTTTTTTTAAGATTTTATTTATCTATTTGAGAGTGAAAGAGAGAATGCACGTGTGCACCGCGAGAGAGCATGAACAGAGGGGAGAGGCAGCGGGAGAGGGAGAAGCAGACTCCCTGCTGAGTGGGGAGCCTGACGCAACACTCGATCCCAGGACCCTGAGATCATGACCTGAGCCGAAGGCAGATGCTTAACCGACTGAGCCACCCAGGCGCCCCTAAAACTTTTTTAAAAATTGTATTTACATTTATTTATTTGAGAGAGATTAAGAGAAAGAGCGTCTGCTTGTGAGCATGAGCCAGGGGAGGGAGAGGAAGAGGGAAAGAATCCCAAGCAGATTCCATGCTGAGCATGGAGCCCTAGACTTGGGGCTCGATCCCAGGACCCTGAAATCATGACCTGAGCCAAAACCAAGAGTCCAATACTTAACTGACTGCGCCGCACAGGCATTTAGGGAAGAAAATTTCTAATGTGGGGCTTGACCATCTTTTAGTCTGAGACTCTGATCTCTTATACATCATTGTATTGGTCCCAATTTGTTTTTATTTGGGAAGGCTAAAACAATGTGAAGTGTTTTGTTCTAAAACAAACAGGTAATGTGGAGAGTTGAAAAAATTATAGTTTACAGTGATAAATGCCATGTGAAGTTTCTGGGTTTGGGGGTTTGCTTTTTTTTTAATTTTTAAATTTATTTTTATTTTTTATTTTTTAAAAGATTTTATTTATTTGAGAGAGCAGAGCAAGAGAGAGAGAAAGAGCATGAGAGTGGGTGAGGGGCAGAGGGAGAGGGACAAGAAGACTCCCACTGAGTGAGGAGCCCAATGTGGGGCTCAATCCCAGGATCCAAAGATCATGACCTGGGCCAAAGGCAGACACTTAACCGACTGAGCCACCCAGGCGCCCTGGGACATAAATCTCTTGTCTTATTTCCCCATTCCCTCCTATATTCTGTATGTGGTACATTTGCCCACAGCACACTGCCAGATTCATTGTATGTTGACATAGAATTCTTTGGGGCAGAACCCCTATATTGTACTTTTGACGAAATTTACTTACGTATTTATGGAATGCCTTTGACTGAGGTACTGGGCTCCTCTGTAGGTGCTAGCATCTGTTGGGGGTACATATTAGGTCTTAAACAGATTCCTGATGGTTGATATAAGTTCACTTTTTCTCTAGTCACTATTTCGAAGCAATTGAAAGAACTGGCTCTGCCCCTTCCTTTGCGTCACATTGGTGGCTAGCAGTAACAGCTGGGAGTAGAGTGGGGGAAAGCCCGTTTGGAAGCTCAGGGGTCTAATGTTCCCTTCTGTTGAAAAGTGAACGTGTTGTAAAAGAAGTCCTCTGAGATTCCTTACAACCTCCAGGTTTCTTGGTCATAAAGAGGTGCTCCCAGTGAATTAGTGACACCATTTGTAAGAACTAACCCACAAAGAAAAATGTCTCTTAAGATTGAATGGAGTTCAATGGAAGTGTTTCCATAACTGAGCTAAGCTGTTGCATACATAATCTGAAGTAACCTAGAACACTTAGAATAATAGAGCATTGGTTTTATTTTTTGCTTTTTTTCCTCTCCCCCTCTTCTCCGGTTAAACAGTGCTTTCTCATTGTACTTTGGAAATGTTTTTTAACTTTTATTTTTTCTAATTTTTTATTGTGAAATATATTTT